GGTAACATAATGGTAGAAAAATCGCACAAAATGGAAAATAGGGAGGGGCTCATCGGAAGCAATTTTGGGTTTGGCCCGTGACGTTGCCGTCGGGCTTTACCTGCTGTTTTTGGCTCATCTACTGTTCCTTTTGCTCTGAGGCCATGAGGGTATTCGAAATCAAATTCCGAGCGGATATGAAAATTTTTACCTTTTTTAGTGGTTGGAGGTGGCTCCGGCGCGATGGCGGACGGCGGTTGGCTCCCTTTTCTGGCAATTGGTTCTTCTTCTCTGACGGGACGCTGGCGGCTAGGGTTTGGGTTCGATGTGACGCGAGATATTTATACCCATCTCCCTTAAATCTGGACCGTTCATTGCGTTTGATCTCGACTATCCGATCACATTTAAAGAAAAAATAAATGTAGACCATTTATTGCGATTTGATCTCGATCGTACAATTGTGTTTAAAGAGGGAAGGAATCTGGACCGTTCGTCGCATTTAATCGCGACCGTTCGATTGTACTTAAGGAGGGAACGGATCTGGACCGTCCACGCGCGCGGGAACGCATCCGGACGATCTGATCGCGGGCACGCAGATTGCCTGCGTGGCACCGAGTCAGCGTGCCTTGCCACGTGGTGCGCTTCGATTCGTCGGGGTTGCTGATTGGGCGGTCCTATGTGGTGCAATTTTTTTTAATTGTATTTTGATCCCTAATTTCTGAATTTTCTTTCAAAAATATCATCTGAACCCAAATTTTCACCCTTTTTTTCAAAATTATTTTCAATTTTATTCTCAACTTATTTTTTCATAATTTTACATTAAACAAAATTTAAAAATTTAAAAATTATATTTTTATACATTTTTTTTAACTTTAAAATTAATCACGGACCAAATTTTAGACCTGGGTATTACATAGCTTCACCAACCCAGCTCCCCATCTGCTTTTCTGTTGATGTTTGTTTCTTCTTAAATTTTGTAGTGCCTTCTAGAATTACAATTTTTCTTTTTTTTTTTCAAAAAATTCTAATTGAGTATATATTTGTGAAAATTTATTCTTTTTTTTTCTTGCTTCATACAATAAAATTCTCCTTCTCTTTGGTATTGTTTATGTTTTCCCATAAATTGCCCTCCTAAATAACGTAATTTTTTCATAAGCAATTTGCTTTGTTAATCAGGTAATGACTTATATTAAATCTCAAGTTCGAAGATAAAAATTTATTAATTTGTAGTTTTTGATTTTTTAATTTCTTTACATTTTCAGATAATTGAAAACGGGGCCTACTGTTGCCGAAGTGCAAGATTCTTGTATGCACTTAGAAAATTTGAAAAAACTATGTTGCATGTTTGATATATAATCAGAAAAATGGATAAATCTTATTATTTTAATGGACTAATTTGTTATTTTGGAATGATTAATTTATGTTGAATTTGTAATTGGAGTGGTTTAACGGGTGTTATATTTTTAAAATTTTTATATTTTTAAAATTTTTATATTTATGCAATTATATATATTTTTTTTAATTTTTTTTATAAGATACATATTAATAAGAAAATGATTGAAATATGTTAGTCAATCTATTATGCGTCTCTGCATTTAGCATTAGGTAGACCTCATACAATAACTGTCCTAGCTCTACCGTATCTTTTGTTTCATTTCTTCTAGAACAATCACAAACACTTTTTTTATTATGGATCTACTACCAGAAATTCAATGCATAATCTTCGCATTCAATGTGTATTCCTGAATAATCTTATTTTTCAATTATTCAACTATTTCATTTTATCAAGTTCAATGTTAGTCAGATTAGTCAACGTTTATATGTTTCGATGCAACAACAAGATGTTATTTGTAACAAGTAGTTTTGTTGGTTGGTTAATTAGTCACATTTTATTCATGAAATGGGTTGGATTGGTATTAGTCTGGATACAATAAAATAATTCTATTAGGTCTAATGTACTTATTCGACTTAATAAATATAAGTACCTTGTGTCATAATTGAGAAATTCTATGGCTCGGATCTTTAGCATTCTCTTATTTATTGCCTATGTCTACTATTTAGGTAGAATAACGTCACCCACTTTTATTAAGAATGTTGTTAATAAAATTTATTTATTTATTTTATTTAAGTGATATAAATAATAATAATAATAAATATTATGTAATAACTAATTTTTATTTTTTTTAATTTATAATTACAAATAAAAAAATTGTAGTTTTAAAGTAATTTTTTATATTTATTATCAAAAAATTAAATTTTTATTTTTTATAATATTTTTTATTTTAAAAAATTACAGTTTAAATAATTTTATAAATTAAATAACTGAATTATAAGATAAATTAATTTTTTTTAATTTAATATTACATATAATTAATAAATTAATTAAATATATAATTATATTATTTTATCAATTTAAATAAAAATAATTATTTTTATTGTATATTAATTTACAATATTAAATATAATATAATTTTATTCTTACCATATTATATAATTATTATACAATATCTTACGTTAATTAACGACCTTAAAATTCATCCAAACAAAAACGATTAAGGAGTTTACTGCTGAGTTTCGACCAAGCTCAACTACAAATGAGCGTGTATGTTATATCTCTATACAAGTATATTATATATATATATATATGTCTTATACATGGTGGGCTTTTTGGTTTTTTTGTCTGATTTTGAGGGTCATTTTTAAAAAATTAGTATGTAGAGGATGAGATGGAAAAGAATTTTGTTATCAGACTTTTATTAACTCTGTTAGCACTACTGACTAACAGAGTTAATAAAAGTTAACTTTGACTGTTTATGTACTTATCATAATCATATTAATAAAAAATATTATTATCAATTTTTTTATCATCAAATATTTTCTTTTACGATTTCTTTATTATCTGACTTTTTTTTTTGGTAAATGTAGAAAAGGAAAATATTGAACGCCGGATGACAGTGCGTTCGTCACTGAACCAAAAACGCCATGGATCCGCAGCATCAGAGAGCCGGAGCTCCTCAGTCTCGTCCTCGAGCCCAAGGCGGCGATTTCTCTCCTATTGTCACTGTTTTCATCGCTTTCATCGCCATATTCTCCCTCGTAAACTTTCTTCCTCACTCTGTCAGTATGGTGTAAACATTTTTCTTCTTGCATATATTTTATTTATTTTGGTGTTTATAAATATTGTGCCGATTATTTCATGCCGACTTAATGTTATTTTGTTAATTTCTATGGTTTATCTTTAACTTGATCGCATGTTAGAGCTTGTTAGAGCTTGCTCGTGATTTATCATTGATCATCTTTATTTTTTTTTTTTCGCTGCCAAAATTTTATCAATACACACGCAGTCTTTTAGCTTTAATCGCATTACTCTGTCTCTTATATAAGTAGTACTTTTCTTTATGATTCTGATTGATTTCATTTCTGGTTTTCTCTTCCTGCTTTTCGATTCTGAATTTGTACTCGTTTCTTGTTAACGGATTGTAGGATAGTGATTTGCTCGATAGGTTTATTTATTTAACCATTTTCTCTCCGCGTCTTTCCAATTTCCACTGTAAGGCATTACATTGCCCCGAAGCTTATGAGAAATCATCCCCCCTCGTTTTTTGATTGATAGCATTGGATTTTAGGGTTTAAATGCTTGCTCATTCATTTGGGGTTGGTTTTTTATTTATTTTTTATTTATTTATTTATTTATTTTTAAGAAATATTAGTTTATTTGATACAAGTTTCAGTTGGTAAGATTCAGCTTGAGGTTTCCTGCTTAGTCGTGTTC